GACATAATTCATATAAAGTTAAAAGATGAACATTGATTAAACAACGCCACTAGCTGGCCGAAGAGAAAGAGAGAGAGAGAGAGAGAGAGAGAGAGAGTTTTGAATTTGAATTTTAAATTTATGATAGAGATTTTATTAGCATATTTTAATTGACATTGAATTAAGGGATAACTATATCAAAAATATAAAATTAATTTAACCTCCTTTCAAGGAAGAGTATTTTTGGAATAAAAAAAATGGACTTAAGCCATTACATACAATTTTAAACATGGACTTACTTTTTTATAAATTTTTTTACATGACTTATCTTCAAATAAGTGCATCTAAGGGGGACTCACTTCAAATTTTCACTTAAATTTTTTATGTGAACTAATTGTATACCTAAAATTATAGACCTTTTATAAATTTGGGACTTAATACCTAAGCTTTTTTTCTTAATACAGTTAGGCCGGCACTGATTGGATTTGATTTTGAGTTGAATGACACAACCAATGACGAAGGCAATGAAGGAGAGAAAGGGGGTGCTACGGGTTGTCGGTTGTGGGTCAGGGGACTAATGTGGGTTGCAAGTGGTGCGGGCGTTCGATGATGTTAAGATGGTTGGGAATTGAATTTTTCCCATGAAATCAGTTTGAACAATATGATGTATCCTCTTAATAACAACTCAACAATCACGATTCATACCATTTTAAATATATATTCACTCCATAGTTAGTCATCCATGATAGATTTAAGTAGGATATTTATAATATAAAATATGACATATTTCAATAATTTTATTTGACAGTTTCAAATAGATTTATTTGATGTCCATTAACATTCCTTTCAAAACTATTTATATTGTACTGTACTATCAAACACGGATTACCCCTGATACTATAATATGCAATCTATTATTAAATAAAATTGATTAAAAATATAATAAAGAGAATTTCAATCTCCGTCATTGCTCACTTGCACATGTTGAAATTACCATTTGAAAGTTCGAAGAGAATTTAATACACTTGCTCATATTTTACAACAAGTATTATATTGGTCCATTTAATTGTCCTAGCATGTAATACGTGCGTTGCACATAAATAAATTTAAATAATATTATTTTATAAAAAAAATATGAATTATATGTATAATTAAATTACATAATATACTAGGTGCCAAATAATTAATTTGTATTTTAATTATTACTAAATTTAATTATTAATTTATTTTATAAGTTTTTAAATAACTAATCTGTCATTTATTTAGGTATCTTTTTGACCCTTTTAAATATTTGCACATCTAATTATATTATATTATTATTAATTTTTTATTTTATTAAATAGATTAATTAGATCGCTTATAATATTACTAGTGATTATTCGTATCTGAATACACTATGTAATAAACAAAAAAATTGCAAGTAAAAAAAATGATCCGAAAATATTCATATCAATTCTTCTTTTAAAATGACTTGCCCTGTATTATTGGAATTATGATAAAAATGAACAAAAAACTCTCAAAAGCAACACCATATATACAATTACTTCATAAAAAAAATATTAATAGAACTGAATCAAATTTATAATCTTTAAGTAATAAATGAAATTAATAAAATTTTTCTCATCTATAAGAATCATGTATTCGCCGTCATTACTATCATTCAATTTAATTTAAGAAATGTAATAAAACCAACCTAAATCAAGATATAAATAATACAGTTGCAACAACATTTAACAACAATCAACTATAACATCAAAGTATCTACAACTAAACCAACACGAACATTAAACATTAAAACCAACAAACTCTTGCCAAAGCATACACCACTAATATTTGATTAAATTGGTTTTATGTATTTTTTTTATATTGGTCGATTGTTATTTTTTTATTCGTAACTGACTTGATTTTGAATTTTTTTTATTTTTTGGTGCTTGCTGTAGTGATTTATTTTTGGTATGAATAATAGCTTGAACGTCTTATTTATGGATTGTATATTTATATTTTTGTTTGTGTGGAAGTGGTGATGACGATTAGATTGGTTTTGATTTTTTTTTTTTGCGACTTCAATTGCTTTCAATTGTTTTGTTTTTATTAGTCACTTGTTATTATTTCATTTTATACTTTTTGTTTGCGTGGAAGAATTGATAATTAGCTTGGATTTTATCTTCTTTTTTTTGGTGCAATTTGTATCTCTTATTTTTTTTATTGTTGATTAACTTGAGCTTTGTGTTTTTATTTTTTGGAAGAATTGTTTTGTTTTTATTGATCACTTGTTATTTTTTTTATTGGTAATTAGCTTTGGCTTTGGGTTTTTATTTTTTTGGGGGAATTGTTTTTGTTTTTATTAGTCACTTGTTTTTTTTTTTAATTTTTTTTGGTGCAATTGGTATCATTTGTTTTTCTTATCGATGATTAGCTTGGGCTTTTGTTTTTTTTTTTTTTTTATTATTTTGAGAACTATATGTTTGTATTTAGTAGATGAGAGATAAGAGTCTTAAAGTTAAATATAAAGAGTTGCATCAGTTAATATGAGATAAGGAGATAAAGTTGTAGTATGAGATAGGGAGATAGAATTAGATGACAGATAAAAGTCTTAAAGTTAGGGAGTAAGAGTTATATCAGTTAATATAAGATAGGAAGAGAAGGTTAAATAAGAGATAAGAGTTTTAGAAAAATTTAGCATGAGAATCGTTGGATCAATAATCATCAAGCGATCTGAGCCGCGAAAAGTTAAAAATAAAGAAATTTAGCTACTTATTATAATAAAGTAGCTAGAAAAGTTTATCTTGAACTTTTCGCGACTCAAATCGTTTGACGATTATTGATCCGACGGCCTTCATGTAAAATTTTTTCAAGACTTCTATCTCTCATCTAACTTTCTCTTCCTCTATCTCATACTTTCTCATCTCTCTCTCACATAATAAATATTATAATCAATACCTGAATAAAAATAAAAGACAATTTTTCGTATGAACCCTTGATCTCAAGAAGGAAAAATTTTCATAAGGTAAAAAGTACCATTGGATCATAGGCCCATTGGTAAATGAAGATCAATTGAAAAAACTTCCACTTGCAAAAATTCATAATAAAATGAAGATTATCTGAAGAAAGCCTTATTATAATAATAAAAAAAAGGCAAATAATTGAAATAAGAAAATTATATGATGAGTACAAGTAAAAAATTTGTATATAATGTATATATATATTATATATATATATATATATATATATATATATATATATATCAATATTTTTTTAAAAAAATTGAGAATGAGTTTGTGCCCACCCTTGCCTTTGTGTAACTCTGCCCATGTATGTCATCATATATATATTTATATATCTATATAGAATTTTCATTCTTTTATATCTCTCTATCCTATATCTCACACATTTTAAACACACAATATCATCTCTTATATAACTCTATCTCTCTATCTACCTCACACACACACACACACACTCTCTCTCTCTCTCTCTCTATATATATATATCCTAAATGTATAGAATAATAAAGTAATAAGAGTTGGAGAGTTTGCCTTGGATGACTATATATATCTAATAATAACAAAATATATCTAATACACATTAAAATTCTAACCCTCTCTCTCTCTCTCTCTCTCTCTCTCTCTATATATATATCATACTCTTACCTCTCATAACTTTTTTTCATCTCTCATATAACTCTCTCACTCTCTCTACACCCGCCAACACACATGCCAATATCAACTCTTACCCAAAAAAGAAGAAGATATTTTTGAGGTATAATGATTAAATATATAAATTGTGTACATGTTAATATTTTTTAGAAATCGTGTTTTAGAGAAGTTTTGTCAGAAAATTTTAGAAAATAGTGTTTTCAAATTGATTTTGAATTGTGTAACTAAATAAAATAATAAAAAATAAAGTATTGTTTGAAAATATTTATGTTGCATAACCGGTGTTTGAGATTTTTTAAATTACTTAGTGTCTTCAGACATGAATTATTTCTAGTAATTTAATATATATAGAACTTTACTTTTTCATATAAATATAAATTATTGTATATAATTGTATTACTAATAAATGAGTTTAAAAGAATTTAAAAATTATTATAAAACAGTCTAAATACATTGAAAGTCAAATAGGTGTAAAAAAAAAAAATTATATAAAAATATATAGTGGGTATAGGTGAATTTATTATAATAATTAAGAATAAAATTAAAAATTAAAAATTTTTCGCAGATGCTGATAGGATAGGATAAATTGGCTCAATCTGTATTTCTTGATCATATGGTGAGTCTCATATCAGTATACAATGAATTATTTATCATTAAACTAAATTAAAAACCCGGATATTACAGGAGATCCAAGTCCGGGGTGGACAGAAATTTTAGGCATGTCAACCATTTATTTCATATTCCCCCAATTTTGGGGCGGAGTGGTGTCTTTTTTGTCATCCTTTTACCCATTTGACACCCAAAAGATGGTCTTAAAAGTTGAGAAACAGATGAGCTACAACTTCACCTCAATTAGATTACCTTCCAAAAATCTAAACCACCCTGCATTTACTAGATGCATCCCTTTTCCCAGCACAAGCAACACACACAGTCTCTCTCTCTCTCTCTCTCTCTCTCTCATCTAATCTGGGTCAATTGCTAATATCTATAATTAAAAACCTACTAAAAGTCATTCTAATAAACAACAGCCCTCAATTCTCTACTTTTCCGTGTAAGCTGATGATGGAGAACTCTCCATATTCTCCCCCACCCAAAAGGGTGGTTGAACTGCCAAATCCTCTATGGCTTCCTCTAATAATCATATTAATTTCCATCACACATGTTACCAGTTAGATATATACCATTTCTTCTACGACATGCACAGGCTTCTTCTCTTTCTTTCAAACAATTAGCTACACCTGCTAGAATTTGGATTCTCTCTCTCTCTCTCTCTCTCTTCAAGAAAGCAATATGATCTAGAAGTCACACTCACCTTTCATTAACAACACCTGAAATTTTATCCATTTTTTTCTAGCAATGACAACAATGGCATCGGCAAAAAATTTTACGACACATTTTCTGGAGGATTGGTGCAAGACAGGCCAGAAGAATGAAGCCATGATCACCATGGAGATTCTGAAGTTAGGTTTCTGTTCCTCAGCAGGCAATGGTAACGTGCTGAGGAGGCGGTGCCTGAGGGTGAAAGCAAGCACAAGCAGCAATCAAAGTGTGGAGATAATGAAAGGGAAAAAAGTAAATGGTATTCATGTTGGTGGGGTTCAATATTTGAGCCAAAGGAGCAGTGAATTGTTGAGTGAAAACAGGACTGAGGAGTCTTACAATCATGCATATCTTCTTGGGAGGTTTGTAGAGAATCGTTTTGTTTATAGGCAGACCTTTGTTATAAGGTCTTATGAGATTGGAGCAGACAAGACTGCCTCCATGGAAACCATTATGAATCTCCTCCAGGTTGGTTGTTTCTTTTCTTCTGAACATTTCTGCAATATATAATGGGAAAGCCTAGAGAAAACACGCACACCCCCCACACCCACGTAGAGAGAAGAAATAGTGGTAAATTCGACACACTTTTCCAGTATTTTTGGTCCTTAAAATATATATTTTTTGTCATTTTAGTTATAATTGTATCAATTTTATCAATTTAATTCTTAAAGTGTTCAATCCACAATCTTCAAATTTTTTTATAAAAGTAACCACGTATAATTTGTTTTAGATGGTATCACCTGTCCAACATGTAATAATTCCATCCAAAAAATTTTGGTCTCAAAAATGACACAAATTAAATAATGAATGAATAAAAAATTAACAACAGAAAATTAATGATTCTTATTCAACCGAGTTGAAGTTAGCAACAACAAATCGATTATACACCAAAAGTTGGTAAGAAGTAAGAACTGAGGGACAATGGCCCTAACCTAAGTGGACCTACCAGCAAAGCAACTTGTAGTTGATTGGGCGGGGGTGGTTTGTTTTCGTGCAACGCCTTGCAGCAGGAAGAGGCCGTTGTCATTTGAAACGATTTCTCTTTTTTTTTCTTTTTGGCAACATGAAAATGGGTAAAAACTATTGCAAGGAGGCGTTCATACAAAACTTTTAGCTGTTTGCAGCCTACCACTTTGGTCAATTCTTATTATTTTTTTTATTGGGTGACCATACAAAAATGATCAACTCTTCTGATGTTTTTCAAGAGTAATGCTATTTAGACCAAAATATCTGACCTAATTTGTTGATATAATGATGTGGTTTAATAAGAATCATTGCATCAACACCAAAATCTAATGTTTGATGGGACCTACAGTCAATTCAAAGGTCACGGTGAATGAGGTCAGCAAATTATGTCAAATTTTTAGGTCCCAATAACATTGCTCGCCTTTCAAATACTACGTGGTTTTCAGATATAATCGAAGAGGTTGAATAGGACACATATAGACATCTCATTAGTGTACAAAAAATGCTTGGTGGCTTGTATTCTAAATGGAGAAAATGAAAGATTTGTAGTTTCTAAACAAAACACTATTAGCTAGATAACGTTTTTTTCTTTCTATGACTGCAGGAGACAGCCCTTAATCATGTAGCAAGCTCTGGGGTTGCTGGGAATGGCTTTGGTGCAACCCGTGAGATGAGCCTCAGGAAACTTATATGGGTTGTCACCCGCATACACTTACAAGTAGAGAAATATAGCTCCTGGTATTTTCTTCTACTCTTCCTAAAAATTCCTGCAAGGCTCATGTCTTACAATTCTAAATACGACAGCCTTTCTGATATGAAATCGGCACAGAATTAGCAAATTTTTTAGGGCAATGCTATTGAGACATAATTTGAGTATATAATGAGTTGTCATCAATGATATGATACTAAATTCATTAATGCTACAATGAGACCCATCATTAAATACATTTCACTATCATATCATTGGTAACAACTCATTATGTCCCCAAATTATGTCCCATAGCATTAGTGAATTTTTTATTTAATTTTTACAGGTTCGTATGGTATATAGGTGGATCTTGAGTCCGCGTCAATTAAGTGGGTCAACACAAACTTTACCATCGAGAAATAGTTTGACAGAAGAGTTAATGCATCATATGAGTTATTAAATGGCCAAGTAGTATTCCAAAAGTCAGCCAATTGAAGCAACATAAACAATCTAACATGCTAAGGGCAGCTTATAGCCTTATACCTCACCTTGTGTTAATAAATACTCAGAGAAAAGTGGTAGATTTTGCTTTTCTTAGAAAATAACTAGCCCTCCCAAAGGGAACACAGCTGGAAATGGCTGCTAATACCACACAGACCGATGAGTACAAGGAGGAAATTGTCATAGGCTCGCATTTGATTTACTAGTTGGTTAGGCAATAGCTTACTAAGGAGATGATCAATCATTGGCCCCAATTCGTTTTAAGGATTAGGTTCAAGCATCAACATGGACTAATGTACTATGTAATTTGACAGGGGAGATGTTGTTGAGATTGACACTTGGGTCGACGCAGCTGGGAAAAATGGAATGCGTCGGGACTGGATAATCAGAGACTACAACACTCAAAAAATCATAACAAGAGCAACAAGGTGCACCCACAATTTGGAAACTGTGCATTCAATATCCATTAACATTCTTCTGCTTTTAACTCCTTTGATGTCTCTGTAGCACATGGGTGATCATGAACAGAGAAACAAGAAGGTTATGTAAAATCCCTGATGAAGTTAGAGAAGAAGTCCAACCCTTCTACCTGAACAGAGTTTCAATTGCAAGGGAAGATGCTGATAGTGAGAAGATTGAGAAACTTAATGATGAAACTGCAGAGATAATCCGATCAGGATTAGCTGTAAGTATATAGGAAAATGCTACACGACTCAAATAAAACCCAAAAACTATAACTCAAAGGCATATCATCCCTTGGATGAGTATTAGATAAGTGGGTTTTGCTGAAAAAGTTGATGAGATCCACTCATCTACGAGGTAATATGTATTTGGGTTATAACTTTTTAGATTTCATTTAGATTGTATAGTATTTCTCAAGTATATATAACAACTTGGATTAAATCTTTCCCCCCCCCCCCCCCCCCACCCCACTTTTACCACTTGATAAACTGTGTATTTCCTGATTTATACAGCCAAGATGGAATGACATGGATGCCAACCAACATGTAAATAATGTTAAATACATCGGTTGGATTTTGGAGGTAAGTTTCTAGCCTCAATCTCTTTCTCTCTCTCTCTCTCATACACTGACGCAAAGAAAAAAAGAATTCATACGTTGACAGGATGATGTATAATACCCCAATAATAAAAGAAGAGACTATGAGCAATTAAATGCAACATTTTGCACCTTTCGTGGGTGGCTTTAGTTGGTCATCTATTTGCCACAAACCTCCACCTTCTTTAGGATAGGAGTGGGTACACATGAAGTGAATGGAGCTAAAATACGAGATTATTTGAACATGACTCGTTTGTTTGTAAAGAGTGTTCATGATCACTTGGAATCATGAATTCATTATTTTTTTTGTCTAAACTCAAGTTCAACTCAACTAATCAACTTAAAAGTTAAACAAGTTGAGCACGTATTCGAGCTTAAACGTATTCAAGACTAAGCTGAGTTCGTTAATGTATATATTTGTGTGTGTGTGTGTGTGTGTTTTCATAAGCCAGTATATATTTGTGTGTGTGTGTGTGTGTTTTCATAAGCCAGAAAATTCCTTGCTTGGACTTGATTTGTTTATTAAACGTATTTTCAAACAGAAGGTCAGTTCATATGATTTAAAAACGAGCAACTTGAACAACCCTAAATAGATGTAACAATAGAAATGAGAGAACATATAGCCTAATACTTTAACACATTTGACTTGCAGAGTGTGCCTATAAATGTACTAGAAGACTATAACCTCACAAGCATGACAATGGAGTACAGACGTGAATGTCGCCAATGCAATGTGCTCGAGTCCTTGACAAGCATGGCAGAAACTATGACTACTGAAGACTCAAATGGTGTAAATAACAGCAGCAGGGCCGATTTGGAAAGCACACATTTGCTTCGGATGGAAGCCGATAAGGCCGAGATTGTCCGAGCAAGATCAGTATGGCAATCCAAACAGAAACACCTCATATGATCTCCAATATACAAACACACACACACACATATATATATGTATGTAAAAATATCAACATACAATTCTGTATTTTATGTTCATGTTTTTGGTTATTGTTTCATTTTATTCTTTTTTTTGTTTCCGGTTGTATCTTCCATGAAGAGTTTGATCTCTACAGGGTATGAAACATTTCACAGGTTTCAGTTCTTGTTTGACTGTGCATTAGTTAAAAGGATTTGAGATTGAAAATAGCTGATTTTATACCACAAATATTTAGTATATGAAGGGGTTAGCCCTCATCATTATACATGTAATGGCATTAAATGAAACCCACATGACATTAACAAGACAGATCACATGATGGCGAAATCATTCACACAGCCCTATAAACTGAGTCGTGCTGATCGATAGGTTCGGTAAAGAAAGAAAGAGTTCGATTCTCTTTATAACCGAGCTCATCAATCTAATTCGGCTAAGCAAGGAAAGAGTCCGGCTTGTACCAAGCCGAGTCCATTAAAATGTTCTGCTAGATGATTGAAGAAGTCAGTTTGTGCCAAACCAAGTCTCTAAATCTGTTCGGTAAACATCAAGTGTGCTCGGCATCCGATATGTTCGAACTACTTCAAATGATAGATGGAAAGATAAAGATCCGCCTATAACTTAGGCAATCAGATAAACGAATCAGAGAAATTGAAGATCTCAGGAGAAAATAATGGAAAAATATCAGTAACTGCCCAAATCGAATCACTGAATTAAAGGAAGGTGTGCCACCTTGAATCAAAAATCACGAAAACCCTAAGGGGATGACCATCTATAAAAAATGGAGGAATTCAAGGTGAAAGGTATATTGGACTCTTCTTATCTTCCTCCAATCGTTCTAAAATCTTTACCGACTTAAGTATCAGAGCGCCTTCAATCGAAACACTTCGATCTTGGACAGTTTGTTCGTTTTGTAGGTAAAGAAAGACTGGGAGATCAAGTTCAGAAACACATCAATTTTTCAATTCCAGTAAGAGGTATTCTCAATTTTTTGCCTCTTACATTTGGCGTCGTCTGTGGGAAAATTTTCTTCTTTCGCAATAAGAACCCACAATGTCTAAAATTAGAAGCGCAATTGGATCACCTAGAGGCAGTTTTGCCTTGGGAAACTCTAATCCTGCATCCATCCCTCCTAGTAGCAATACGCGGTTGCAGGCAAGAGGAAGCCCATCTAGATCCCATGAAGGCGAAGAGATGTCCTCTGCCAGCTTCAGGCCCTCGAAGAATCAGAACCATCAAACTGAAGATCGTAGTGAATCCTTCCGTGCTGAGCGAAAAAACCACTCCCTGGTAAAGTTGGTTCAGTCCCTGCAGATACACTTGATGTTCATGACAAGTTGTTCAAGAAGTCGTATGCCAAGGAAAAAGATCTGATCAAAGAAAACGAAGAACTAAAAACCAGGATAAAAGAGATTACCAGGAAAGAGAAACGTGCGAGAGAAAACCGATGGGAAAGCCCTGAAAGGCAGCCCAACAGAATCAGAAGTAACAATGAAGATCGTCACCAGCAAAAGAAACCTCGGGTTCAGGAGGAGGTTGCATGGAAACAATACATTACCGAGAAACTCATCAACCGTTTGAGGAGACCAGAACAGAGGTCGACTAGGGACCTAGCCAGAAGAGCGACATGAGAATATGGAGACGATTCAGAGTCATCCCCATTTACAGTTTGGATCGAAAAGGGACAGATTTCGAGCAAATTCACCGTCCCGAACTTCAAACTATATGATGGGAAGACCGACCCAGCCTTGCATATCAGACATTATAGACAACTGATGACCATTCATCTAAAAAAGGAGCCCTTGCTCTGTACTATCTTCCCTTGCAGTCTTAGGGAGTCAGCCATGAAGTGGTTTGACAGCCTACCGAAGGGAACGATCGATGGGTGGTCTCAGTTAGCCGAGCAGTTCATGGCTCAGTTCATAATGAGTAGTAAGCAGCTGAAGGATGTTGGAGCACTACTGACGCTAAAGAAGAAGAATAATGAAAGCCTGCGAAAGTACGCTCATCGTTATTGAAAAACTATGAATGAGGTGGAAGGGTGCAATCTAGAGATTGCAGTTGCATCCTTCAAGATCGGGTTGCCAAAGGAGAATCCCCTATATCAGTCGCTCACAAGAAGGCCAGCCACGGATCTGGAAGAGTTGATGTCTAGGACTGAAAAGTATGTCAAAATTGATGACGACTTATTCAGGGACGGGGTTAAGAACATCCGAGCAAGGGGCAGTTTGGCAGAGACAAGCAGACCAAGCCAAACAGAGAGGAAGGAAGAAAGAATGAGAATGATGGATATCCTCAAAAGTCCCCATTTCTGGGGGTAAATACGTTGTTCAAGGAACCCATATACAAGATACTAAGCCAGATCAAGACAAAACCGTTTTTCAAATGGCCAAACAAGTTAATAGGAGATCCTTCTAAAAGGTATTCAAACTTCAGGTGTTCGTATCACAGGGACGTGGGCCATATGACTGAGAATTGCTGATCTCTGAAGTAGCATTTGGAGGAGTTGGTATAGGCTAGACATCTCGCCGAGTTCATAGAGGGTAAACAAAAATCCGATGGACGGAGGACCAAGCCAAATGGGGACCACAACACTCCAGCAGCAATGGTTGATGTGATCCATGCTGCCACTAACCCGCAGATGTCCACAACTAATTCTGCTCAGACTTATATTCAAAAAGCTGTCAATGAGATAGAGGTGTATGAGTTGCGGTTGACCCTGGAGATGACTAACAAAAGAATCAAGATAGAAGAGTCAGCCAAAGCAATCTGTTTTACCGAGCAGGACTTGGTCGGAGTTCACCAACTGCACAACGAAGCCCTAGTCATTATGCTTTGCATTGCGAATTTTGATGTAAAAAGGATGCTGATTGACCCGGGGAGTTCATTAAAAATCATGTATTCGAATCTATTTGATAAACTTGGTCTTAAGAAGGAGGATCTTAAGCCTTCAAATACCCCACTTATTGGATTTAGTTGCAAAATAGTTCTTCCTAGGGGGAAGATCACATTGTCTGTAAAAGACCAGACCAGTTTGTGTCATAACCGAGTTCCTGGTAGTGGATATAGTCTCGGCATATAATGCAATAATGGGAGATTCTGGCTACACACAATGAAGACGGTACCCTCAACGTACCATTAGATGTTGAGGTTCCCTTCGACTGAAGGAGTGGTAAATATCTGAGGAGACCAAGTCAGTGCCAGAACTTGTTTGTTAGCCTCGGTCAAATCCAAAGGAGGGGTTAAAGCTCGCAAGAAAAACTCAATGTTCGAGGAGGCGAAATAGCAATTAGCTTTTTACAGCTCGGTTAAATCAACTGACCAAGCTGTCAAGGAAGGCCCTAAAGTACCTTTAAGCGCCGAAAAGGAAATTATGGACCGAACAATTGAAAACTTGACTAAAGTGCCTTTAGACAAGGATGGAGATCACAAAAAATACTTTTTGTTAGGGACTACTCTTAGTCCCGAACAGAAAATCGAGCTCGCCACTCTTCTACGAGAATATGCCAACGTTTTCGCATGGACCACTACTGATATGCCCGACGTACAGGTCGAAGTAGCATATCAACAGTTGAACATCGACCCGAGCTTCAAGCCAATCAAACAAAAACTAAGGAGGTTAGTGCTTCAACATTAGAAGGCAGTGAAGGAGGAAGTAGTACGTTTATTGGAGTCCCGAACAATTAGGGAAGTACAGTACCCGACTTGGCTGTCAACCACTGTTGTAGTAAAAAAGCAAAATGGGAAGTGGAAGGTCTGTGTTGACTTCACCGACCAAAACAAAGCATGCCCAAAGAATAGCTTCCCCTTGCCGAAGATAGATCAGTTGGTAGATGCCATTGCTGGACATGAGTAGATGAGCTTCCTAAACGCCTACAAGGGAAACCATCAGATCCCCCTGGCAAAGGAAGATCAAGAAAAGACTGCTTTCATAACACCGAATGAAACGTATTGTTACAAAGTAATGCCATTCAGATTGAAAAATGTTGGGGCAACATATCAGAGGTTGGTGACTAAAATATTTTCACATATGATAGGTAGTACAATAGAAGTTTACATTGATGACATGGTAGTGAAGAGTTGGAAGGCAGCAAACCACTATGCTGACCTCAAAAGCACATTTGATGTTCTACAGACGTACAACATGAAATTAAACGCTTCAAAATGCGCATTTGGGGTCGGCTTGGGGAAATTCTTGAAATTTCTAGTTACTCACAGAGGAATAGAGGTGAATCCCGAGCAAGTGAAGGCCATTGCCGAACTGCAATCCCCTTGGACTGTAAAAAAAGTGCAGAGGCTAACAAGAATGGCAACAGCACTTGGGAGATTCATATTCCGCGCATCTGATAAGTGCAGACCCTTCTTTCAGTCAATCACAGGAAAGAAAGAAGCCTTATGGAGTTAGGAATGTGAGGAAGCATTTACAAATCTGAAGGCATACTTAGCATCTCTACCGATTCTATCGACTCCAATACTCGAAGAAGGACTTTACCTTTATCTGGTTGTATCAGAGCATGCTGTAAGTGCATCATTGATGAGGAATGATTGTGGAAAGATGAAACTCATCTTCTATATCAGCAAGATGCTCTTGGATGAAGAATTGAGGTATACTCCGTTGGAAAAACTTGCCCTAACACTGATTAGCTTGGCTAGGAAGCTCAGACATTACTTTCAAGCCTACCAAATCACAATACTTACTGATCAACCACTAAAGTCACTCTTCAATAAAGCCGATTTGTCGGGACGTGTGGCTAATTGGGTAGTTGAGTTAGGGGAGTTCCACGTTTTGATTTGAACCAAGAAAGGCGATAAAGGGTCAGGTTGTGGCAGACTTTATCACAGAATTTCAACCTAAGGATAACTCAGCGCAGAGTGAAGAGACTACTTGCAACCGAGAGTCAGAGCTCAGCAACGGTTGGACTCTATCTGTCGATGGATTCTCAAATCATAAGGGTGCTGGCATTGGTGTTATTCTAGTAAAG